AGACGAACTTTTCAGCTTGAACTTGTCGGCTTCTACACGCTTGTGAGCCATTTACCTAAGATAAATCTCTCTCTCTCTCTCTCTTTCTCTCTCTATAAATATATATATACACTTTGCTGGTTTTTGTGTTTCTCTAGAGAACCCAATCCAACACAGTCAGTAAACATTAATTATAATTCTCCACTTAAATAGAATCAATGTAATTTATATTGACCACCTGTTACTGTTTCGTTAATATTTTTTCTTCAAAGTAGCATAAATTTTAAGTCTTAAAATATATAATTATTTCAATCAATGTACTTTCATTATACTTTGAGACTTATTCATTAAGCACTTATTTAGCTAAATAAACAAATTCATTTGGCCAAAGAAAAACAAATGAAAAATCCATACAAGATAATAAGTTTAAATATTTATGGTATTTAAAAGTTTGAAACTGAGTCCTCTTTTCAAAATCAGTGCATATGGACTGGTTAATCCACTAAATTACCTTCTCTGAATAAGAGACCAAAGTACAAAAGATGACATTTTTAAAAAGAAAAATAATAGTTCCAATGTAAACGTGATGGTTACCCTCATATCATAAAACAAAGACTTACTCTAAAATGTCATTTAGAAAAGTAAAATACATAGGGGGGGGGGGGAAAAACACTGCACACCTCAGCTAAACAAACTATTGGGGGGGGGGACCTTTTCTTTATACACAGACCTAAGATGAAGCCACGCAAGTTTTAAAATGACTATTCACACAAAAAATTCAAAGATAAGTAATTAAGTGTGCCTTATTATTTATTGATGGAAAGGTTCTGCCCTGTCTTCTTTGTTTATATATATATATATATATATATATATATATTATATTTCCTAAATAAACAAAAAATGATAATACTTTCAGTATATGTAACATATAAAGTAAAGTAATTTTTATCAGTAATTTCTCTTAAATTGGTGGAAATACTTAAGGCAAAACCCCAAAAAGAAGCAAAGCAAACTATGAAGTAAAGAGTGATCACAGTGACCTGAAAGTAGAATGTGTGACTTTAATTTTTAAAATAGCAGGCTGCCTAAGTAAACAGACAGTAGGAAAAGCAGAATGAAATAGGAAATAAGAATTGGGACTAAATAGACCAAAGTACTAAAATAATCTACTTTGGTTTCAGAGTTTCTCTTTTAACTCCTCATCAAGTATAAGGTAAAGAAAGACTACTCATTCCCAGGGCAAGAAAAATTGAGAATAAAATGGAAAAACTAATCCTTCACTATGTTCCATTAACATTTCCTATAAAAATGGAAATATAGAAAACCTTTTCAATTCAAATGACTTAAAAACAATCATAGTTTAAACAAATTTTTTAACTATAATAATCATTTCCACCCTAAAAGAATAATCTGAGAAGGGAGAAAGCGGGTGCTATTTTAAGCTCCATGCAAATGGAATCTTTGTACTCAAGTGTCTTAATTATCTATTGCTGCTGTAATAGAAATATCACAAGTGGATGCTATAAGAAACAAATTTAGTTTCTTACAGTATAGGATGCTAGAAGTCTGAATGCAAGGTGCCACTATAGGGGAAAGCTTTCTCTCTCCACTGGCTCACAGTTTAGGAGGAAAGTTCTTGTCTCCTTTCAGCATCTACATTTCTTAGAGATGTCCATGTGCCTTGGCATCAGTCTTCCCTGGGTCTAGAAGGTTCTCAGCACAGGGACCTCAGGTCCAAAGGATGCACTCTGCTTCCAGCTCTTTTTCTTGGTAGTGGTGAGATCCCTCTTTACTACTGGAGGCAGAATCATCAGCACCTTTAAGACTAGCCAGACTTGAAAACCAATTTAGAAAACTCATCCTTATAATTTTGTTTCTCCAGAACCACTCTTGGTACCAAATGTCTTAAGGCTGGGTTCTGCAGAGAAGCAAGATCAGTGAAGCATTTATATGTATGTATGTATGTATATATGTATATATGTATGTATGTATGCATGCATGCATGCATGCACGTGTGTGTATTTAAAAGAAGAAAAAGATATTTATCTCAAGCAAATGGCTCATGTATGTGTGTGTATGTGTGTACTTAAAAGAAGAAAGAGATATTTATCTCAAGCAAATGGCTCATGCAGTTGTAGAGGCTGACAAATTCCAAATTCATGGTCCAGACATCAGGCTTCTCCAGACTCATGGAGTTGCAGGAGATGACAAACACACAACTGGCAGGTCAGACGACAGGCTGTTGGCTCCTGGGGCTGTGGAAGCTGATGAATCCCAAATCACAGGGCTGTAAATCCCAGAATCAGTAGGTCAGATGAAAGGGTGCTAGTTCAAGTCCTAAGAAGTTGGATGATGATGTGCCAGATGCAGAATCCAGAGCAAGGCAGAGTCTGGCCAGTGCATCCATATATATACATACACACACACACACACACACACACATTGGTCATACGCCAAAGAAATTCTCCTTGTATCTGAGTAAGGGTATGACTTGAATCAGGGCATAACTTGAGTGAAGCTGTGACTCAAGGTTCACCCCACACTAACCCTGCCTTATTAATATATAGAAGTCAGGATTTATAACATATAAAATGGAGGATAATTATATAATATCAGAAAATGGAGGAGAAGTATTCTATCACAAAATGGAGGAAAACCACACAATACTGGGAGTTATGGTCTGGTCAAGTTGACACATAACATTAACCATCACATTAAGTAAGAACTTTCAGTTATCTTTTAAGTACAGAATCATTTTCCTTTAATCCCCAAAATCCCATGCAAAAAGATAAAAGAAGTCTCATCCATACAGCAGAAGAAGAAGCAGACAAAAGATTAAATGACTTATAAGATAGGTTATAGCTCTACCAAACTGAGAACAAAGCCTAACCCACTACTCTATAAATGTACGAAAGACACATCAATAAATATCGATGAATTGTTTAAGTATTAAACCTACCATAGTCTTATTCTCAAGATATGCTAGATTGAAAGGAAGGCACTTGATCAAAAACATTTGAAATTTCAGAATCCTTAATCTAGGAAGCGCTTAAATTTCACTTTTCAACTTTTAATAGTGTACCAATTTTACACAGGACACACTATCTTTTGCTATCTAATATTAAAGTTTCCAGTAAAGTAACTAGCCATAAACTTTTGCATAGGATTTATTAAAAAAAAAGAAAAAGTTTTCCTTGCAGTAAAATTGGTTAAAAACTTGAGTTTTCTATAGACAGATGTATGAATACGTAACTACAAAGATATACAAATAGCATATCTGGAAACATTTGGTTGCCTGTAGTCTTCAGCAAGATCACAAAGTGCTCAAAAATTCTTTGACCTGAGGAGAGGAAAAAAAAATATTAATAAAATCACTTCATTCAAGATATCTACTATCAACTTCCTTCAAAAGTATGTAAATATTACTGTATAGGTAACTCCATCACAATGCCATAGCATTTACTTTCAGAAGAAATACTGGTAAAAACTTCAGTACTAAAAAGTAAATGACCTAAACCACACAATACTGGGAGTTATGGTTTGGCCAAGTTGACACATAACATTAACCATCACATTAAGTAAAACTTTCACTTATCTTTTAAGTACAGAACCATTTTCCTTTTAATGTTGTTGTTGTTGTTATTTTGCCGTTGTCGGCCCCGACTCATAGTGACCCCTCCTTGGGTTTCCGAGGCAGTATCACTACGGAAGTAGGATTGCCCAACCTTCCTTCCAAGGAGGGGCTGGTGGGTTTGAACCGCCAGCCTTCTGGTTAGCAGTCAAGTGCCTTAGCCACTATGCTACCAGAGCTCCCATTCCTTTTAATAGGAGCTATTAAATTTATACCTCAGATTCAAACAGTTAAATCTTATAACTGAATGCTAATTTTATAATCTCTTTCTTTAAATATCATAGACAAAACTGACTTTGGAACTTTAGCACTAAAAATATTGATAACTGGTAATGGTTTAACCAACTCTGAAGATCCAGACATGTAACAGATTTGTAACTTTTCTGAACCATAAATTTGAATCACGTACCCTACAAGTCTGTGGTTGTTGTTGTTATGTGCTGTTGAGTCTGTACAACAAAATGAAACATTGCCCAGTCCCGTGCCAGCTTCAGAATCCTGGCTGTACCTGAGCCCATCGTTGCAGCCACTGTGTCAATCCATCTGGTTAAGGACCTCCCCCTATTTTGTTGACCCTCCACTTTACCAAGCATGATATCCTTCTCCACGGAATGGTTCCTTCTAACAACATGACCAAAGTAGGTGAGATGAAATCTGGCCATTCTCACTTCCAAAGAGCATTCTGGCTGCACTTCTTCCAGGACAGATTTGTTAGTTCTTTTAGCAGTCCATGGTACTTCAGAATTCTTCATCAACACCACAACTCAAAAGCATCAACTATTCTTTAGTCTTCCTTTTCACTATCCAGCTCTCACATGCATAAGAGGTGATTGAAAATACCATGGCTTGAGGTAGGTGCACTTAGTCTTCAAAGAGACATCTTTGCTCTTCAGCACTTAAAAAAAGTCTCTTGCAGCAGATTTTCCCAATGCAATATATCATCTGATGTCCTGACTGCTGCTTCCATTGGTGTTGACTGTGGAACCAAGTAATATGAAATCTTTGACAACTTTAATCTTTTCTCCATTTTTTGTGATGCTGCTTATTGGTCCACTTCTGAGGATTTTCGTTTTATGTTGAAATGTAATCCTGCAAAAAGGGCTCTGATCCCACAAGAGGAAAACAGGATTACCAGCAGTAACCCAAGGCCTATTACTGCAAGGCCAGACATGCTGCCTCACTCCAGTTCTTTCTCCAACCGTTCCTCCCAAAGCACCCACCACCTCTCGCCTGGGTTCGATAATTCGCTGCAGTGGCCACACAGAGCTCACAGATTATGGGGTTTATTGGGGAAGCACCACAGGCTACAATTCAAGTTCAGGAAAAATGCTCAGCCTCTCTCCCAGCCCGCCGTCCCTCAGCCAAGAGTCTCTCACAGTCTCTTTCCCAGCAGTGCTGGTCCCTTGGTGTCTCACTCAGCAATGTATGTCTCTTGCGTCTCTTTCCCAGCAGCACATGTCTCTTTCAGGGGTGCATGTCTCTTTTGGCAGTACTTCTTCCTCAACCAGCAGCCAGAGAGAGTTCCGCCTCTAGGAGGCCTCCTTTTGAGCCCAGCAGGTGGTCAAACTAGCCAATCATAGCATCAGAACTCTAAGCACCTGAGAGAGAGTGGGCACCTCCCAGAACATTGTTTTGTGCCACTCCCAACAGAAATACTCCAGGTGGACAATTTCAGCAATCAGGAGCTCCTCAGTTGCTCATAGAAAAATCCTACCTTGGAGTTTACAAAGACTTATGGGTAGAAAAGCCACACTAAGTAATTTACTACACCGCAAATTCATACTGCAGACTACAGTCTTTAATCATCATCACTATGTGCTTCAAATAATCCTCACTTTCTGCAAGCAAGCAATGTTGTGTTGTCTGCATATCACGGGTTGTTACTGAATCTTCCTCCAATCCTGGTGCCACATTCTTTTTCACTTAGTCCATTTCATATAGTCCAGTTTCTCAGATTATTTACTCAGCATACAGGTTGAGTAAGTATGGTAAAAAGATAGAACCCTGATGCACTCCCTTCCTGATTTTAAACCAGGCAGTATCCCCTTGTTCTATTCAAATCATAGCCTACTGGTCTATGTACAGGTTCCTCATGAACACAATTAAATGTTCTGGAATTCCCATTCTTCTCGATGCTATCCATAATTTGTTATGATCCAAACAAATGCTTTTGCACAGTCAATAAAACGGAAGTAAACACCTTTCTGGTAATCTTTGTTTTCAGCCAAGATCCCTCTGACATCAGCAATGACATCCCTTGTTCCATGTCCTCTTCTGAATCCAGCTTGCATTTCTGGAAGTTTTCTGTCAATACATCACAACAACTGTTTTTGAATTATCATCAGTAAGATTTTACTTGTGTGTGATATTAATGATATTATTCAATAATTTCCACATTCTGTGGCATCACCTTTCTTTGGAATGGGTACAAATATGGATCTCTTCTAGTCAGTTGGCCAGGTGGCTGTCTTCAAATCTCTAGGTATAGCTGAGCGAGTGCCTCCAGAGTGGCATCTCTTTGCTGAAACATCTCAATGGGTATTTCATCAATTCCTGGAGCCTTGCCTTTTGACAGTCCCTTCAGTGCAGCTTCAACTTCTTCCTTCAATACCACTGGTTCTTGATCATATGCCACCTCTTGAAATGGATGAACATCAAACAGTTCTTTATGGTACAGTGACTCTGTGTATTCCTTCCATCTTCTTTTGATGCTTCCTACATCATTCAATATTTTGCCCATAGAACCTTTCAATATTGCAACTCAAGGCTTAAATTTTTTCTTCAGTTCTTTCAGCTTGAGAAGTGCTAAGTGTGCTCTTCCCTTTTGGTTTTCTAACTCCAGGTCTTTTGCACATTTGCACAAGTTGTAACAATAAACTTTGTCTTCTCAAGCTGCTCTCCGAAATCTTCTGTTCAGCTCCTTTATCTTGTCATTTCTTCCATTTGCTTTAGCTACTCTCCATTCAAGGACAAGTTTCAGAGTCTCTTCTGACACCCATTTTGGTCTTTACTTCCTTTCCTGTCTTTTTAATGACCTTTTGTTTCCTTCATGGATGACGTTCTTGATGTCATCCCACAATTCCTCTGGTTTTCAGTCACTGGTGTTCAGTGCATCAAATCTATTCTTTAGATGGTCTCTAAATTCAGGAGGGATATAATCAAGGTCATATTTTGGCTCTTGCGGACTTTTTTTGTCATCAGCTTCAACGTGAACTTTCACATGAGCAGTTGATGGTCTGTTCCAGTCAGCCCCTGGCCTTGTTTTGGCTGAAGATGTTGCGCTTCTTCATTGCCTCTTGCCACAGATGTAATCGATCTGATCCCTGTGTACTCCATCTGGTGAAGTCCACACGTATAACCACTGTTTATGTTGTTGAAAAAAGGTATTTGCAATAAATAAGTCATTGGTCTTACAAAATTCTATCATGCAATCTCCAGTGTCCTTTCTATCACCAAGGCCAAATTTTTTAACTACTGGTGATTCTTCTTTGTTTCCAACTTTTGCCTTCCAGTCACCAGTCATGATCAATACAATCTGATTGCATGGTTGGTCAATTTCAGACTGCAGAAGTCATTAAAACTTCAATTTTCTCATCTTTGGCTTTGGTTGGTGTGTAAATTTGAATAATAGCAGTATTAACTAGTCTTCCTTGTAGGCATATGGATATTTTCCTATCACTGACAGCACTGTACTTCAGGATAGATTCTTTGTGCTGACAAATGCCATGCTATTCCTCTTTGTCATTCCCAGAACAGTAGATCATATGATTGTCTGATTCAGAATGGCCAAAACCAGTCCATTTCAGTTCACTAATGCCTAGCATATCGATCTTTATGTGTTCCACTTCATTTTTCAAAACTTTCAATTATCCTAGATTCCTACTTTGTACATTCCATGTTCTGATTATTAATGGATATTTGCAGCTGTTTCTTCTCATTTTGAGTCATGCCACATCAACAAATGGAGGTCACAAAAGCTTTACTCCATGCACATCATTAAGGTCAGCTGTACTCTGAGTCAGCTCTTCCCCAGTCGTATCTTAAGTGACTTCTGACCTGAGGAGCTCATCTTCTGGCACTTTATTGGACAATGTTTCCCAGCTATTCATAAAGTTTTCCAGTAAGTATCAGACAGTTTTTCACTGGCCAATTCTTGAGAAGTGGATGAGCCCTTCTTTCTTCCTAGTCTGTCTTAGTCTGGAAGCTCCCCTGAAACCTGTTCATTTTCAGCATCACAGCAACATGCAAGCCACCCCTAATAGATGAGTGTGGCTGTGCTGGAGGTGTACTGGCTGGAAATCCAACCCAGGTCTCCCACTTGAAAAGCAAGAATTCTACCACTGTCCTGCATATACTATAGCAGTTAACTATAGATGTTGATACTTTCAAAATTCTTGAGATATATCCCTTATGAATGTTAAGTATCTATTTTAATAAACAGAAGACATTTTGTGACAGGAGAAATGAAATATCATAACTGAAAAAAAAAGAATTAGAGCTGCTTCCTGCAACCTGAGATTGCTAGGTAAATTAGCAGAGATGGGGATATTTGTTATACAATCCTCATTACTAATTCCACTCAAGTGTTAATCAACAGATTCTCTCCCAGTCAATACAGGTCCCACTTACTTAATAGAATCTGGTCAATTCCCAATTATCTAGGGGGAAAGATTAATGCTGATTAAAACAATGGCAAAGGCCCCATCTAAATGTCAGAGTCCCTTAATCTCAAGACTAAGGTAAAAATGGATGAGGTCCACATCCTACAACTTTGGCATTCTCCATATTTAATTTAATTGAAAAAGATAAATTTAATTGTACATGTAGTTTATCATTAAGCATCTAGAAACAGGTGGTATGAGGGAAAAAGAAAGAAAAAGGGATGAAACAGAGGAGAAGGTGTGAAAAACAACATTTGTTACCATAATTATTCCTATTTTACAGATAGAAGAATTAAAGGACAGAGACGTTTCTTAATTTAGCTAAGGCCACAATACTAGTGCTAGAATTTGAAGACAAGACTAGACTCTAAACAGTAAAAACCCTCTAAAGCTCTCTGTCATTTTCTATAACCTCTTCTGTTAGAAAATTGTTCTCTCACAAATTAGCACACTTTTTTAGACAAAACAAACACAAGTTGATAGTCTAACTAAATCTACCTTTTCAACCAGACTTTCATGTTTGTCTTTAAAGTCTTCATTAACATCCAGTGTTAAGGTAGGTACCTCTTGTAAATAATCAAAGTTGGTTCTGTTTAAAAGAGAGAGATACGAAGATAATAATCAGAAAAGCAATAAATGAGAGAAACACTAAAAATTCATTCTTATATCATCATTGGAAATCAAAATGTTGCCCATCGATTTACACTAGTTATCCTACAAGAATTTCACCCAGCAGCCTCTTCTTTCTCACCTAGATTTACTACATGTAGCTAAAAAACATCTCAGGGTAAAAAGATATAAAGCTAGGAATTGTGGTATGTGATTCTCCTCAAAACCATACCATAAAGTGGGAATATTTTGCATCTTGAAAGATGAGAAAACTCAGGCTCAGAGCAGTACTCTGAGGCTCTGAGGTTGTCCAAACTCACATACTAAGTGAGCCTGGAGTTGAACCAAGACCTGATTAAAGACAAAGTACACGCTATTAACAACTATGCTATACTTACCTACCAAGTCAAATAGTAAGAAACAAATCTAAAATATGTTCTCTTATAATACAATTGAAAGTACCTAAATAATGTGCACAGATATATATTCTACTCTGTGCTGACAATACTACAGAGTGATACTAGTTATAAAAACTAAGGAAACAGAATCTCATCAAAAGAATCACCTAATTCTGGGAGATATTACAGTCACATAAAATGGCTGAAAATGAAAAATGTTTCTATTTATATCTTCCAAATTTTAGATTAATATTCAACAAAGAAATAAAAAATGAATAGTAAGTAGAAATAACTTCAGTCTTACTTCAGTGTTCTACTCAGTAACCAGCTTTCGTGCTTATAGTGAAGCTTCTCTAAATATTCCAGAGGAATGCCTTGTTCTTCATTTCTTCCCCGTAAATATATTCTCTTCAGGCATGTCTAAAAGCAAGCAATAAGGCCATAAGGGGGAAAAAAATGCAGGGAAGAATTAATTATTCTTGTCTGCTGCTATTAAAATAAAAAATTTCTTCTCTACTGTTTCGTTAGAGTCCACAGGTGGTACTAAAAAGTTGGAGGCTCAAATTTACCCACAGGGGTCTCCAAATAAAGTCTTCACAATCTACTTCTGAAAAATCAGCCACTGAAATCTCTAAGGAATACAGTTCTCTTCTGACTCACACGGGGTTGCCATGAGTTGGAATGGATTCAAAAGCAACTTTTTTTTTTTTTAATTTTGGTGTCTCTTTAGTTATGCTAAAGTTATTGACTATGAAGTTTAGTTAGCTAGTTATGCTAGTATTTTTGTGTGTCAGGGGGTTAGTTATGCTAGCCAAAATTTCTATTTAATTCTTTTACAAAGTAAAAGTAGTTCATTTTTTTTTCCTTTCTTGTACTATTCATAGTCATTTGATACCTATAGACTAAGCAGTACTTTCAAAAATAGGTCAAAAACAAAGTCTACAAACCTTGGCATCTACCAATGAAATAAGACTTCATAATATAAGTTTAGAAAAAACTAAAGACAGGCATATAAGCTGAACATTTACATTAGGTAGATACATTCCTTGGAAAAATCAATCATGGGAGAATAGAAGGGCTGTGTATGCACAGGGAGACAGCTGAAGGGGGGGCAGGAATACATGGGAGGGAAGGACACAGGGTAAAGGTAACTACGGGGAGGAAGTGGGAGGGGACCTGTTGCACTGTGGGAAGAGTACAGTCTACGTCTTGAGACAAAGTATATGTGAACTGCTGTATGGAAGATGAATTTGCTCTGTAAACTTTCACCTAAATCACAATAAAATTAAATATCTTCTATCTATCTATCTATCTATATAGGTTTGGTAAAAAGGAAAAAATAATCATTAAACATTTATTTTAAACATTTTGACAGGGCACCTAAAAGGTTATGCCCAACTCTCAAAGTAATCCTACTTTGTGGTTAAACTTGATTACAAAATATCTGTGTTTACATAAGGAGCTCTAGTGGCATGGTGGTAAAAAACATTTAGCTACTAAACAAAAGGTCAGCAGTTCGAACCCACCAACTGCTTCACAGGCAATAACCTGCTTCAGTAAAAATTTATGGCCTTGAAAACTTTATGAGGCAGCTCTACTCTGCCCTATAGGATCACTATGAGTCAGAATTGATTGGATGGCAATAGGTATGTTTACATAATATAAAACCATTAAAAAAAAAAGAAGACCAAAGAAGAATGGATGCATTTGAATTATAATCCTGGGGAAGAATAAGGAATAAACCATGGACTGACAAGACAATGAACAAATGGGTCTTGGAAGAAATAAAGCCACAATATTCCTTGGAAGTGAGGATAGCGAGACGTTGTCTCTTGTACTTTGGACATGTTACCAGGAAAGACCAGTCTCTAGAGAAGGACATCATGCTTGGAAAAACAGGGGCTCAGCAAAAAAGAAAAAGATCTTCAACAAGACGTACTGCTGCAACAATGGGCTCAAACATAGCAATAACTGTGAAAAGGATGCAGGACCAGGCGGTGTTTCATTCTGTTGTACGTAGGATCACCATGAGTCTGAACCAACTCAGTGGCACCTAACAACAAAACCATTAAAGGCAGTTGTTCTTAATGTGATGTAAGCTCTGGACAAGCATAGACCAATGAGGGAAATACCCTATACCTGCACTATCCAATAAGGTAGTTATTGGCCATCTATGGCTTCTGAGTTCTTGAAATAGTGCTAGTGTGATGACTGAAGAACTGAATTTTAGATTTTAATTAATTTAAATTCAAATAGCCACATTGGACAGTGAAGATCTAGATCTTCCTCTTCTCTGAAAACACATACACACATAATTTTGCATGATTTGTGGAGGTTTAAATATCCTCAGAAACTCATCCATATATCCCAAGAAATAAGAACTCCCAATCTAAATGATGTACATAATGAGACTATGGTAGCCTACAAACTGTTCCAAAGTCAATTTAAAAGTCCTTTATTTTTAATAATTAAAAGGCCTTCTGCGGTGTAGTAAATTACTTAGTGTGGCTTTTCTACCCATAAGTCTTTGTAAACTCCAAGGTGGGATTTTCTATGAGCAACTGAGCAGCTCTTTATTGCTGAAGTTATCCACCTGGGTTATTTCTGTTGGGAGTGGCACAAAACAATGTTCTGGGAGGTTCCCACTCTCTCTCAGGTGCTTAGAGTTCTGATGCTGTGATTGGTTAGTTTGACCACCCTGCCAGGCTCAAAAGGAGGCCTCTGAGAGGCAGAACTCTCTCTGACTGCTGGTGGAGGAAGACGTGCTGCTGAAAGAGACACGTGCTGCTGGGAAAGAGACACGAGAGACACGCATTGCTGAGTGAGACACCGAGGGACCAGCACTGCTGGGAAAGAGACTGTGAGAGACTGTTGGCTGAGGGACGTTGGGCTGGGAGAGAGACTGAGCGTTCTTCCTGAACTTGAGTTGTAGCCTGGTGCTTCCTTAATAAATCCTGTAATCTGTGAGTTCTGTGTGGCCACTGCAGTGAATTATCGAACCCAGGAGAGAGGTGGTGGGTGCTTTGGGAGGAACGGTTGGTGAAAGGGCTGGAGGGAGGCAGCATGTCTGGCCTGGCAGGAATAGGCCTTGGGCTACTGCTGGTAATCCTGTCTTCCTCTTGTGGGATTAGAGGAGGTCAGAACATGTGGCCTCCTTGCCGTTTTAGCACCTTCTAATCAAAAGATATTATAAATACTATTCATGAAATAAAGTTTTGTGTTAAGCTTTAAGATAGTGACTGTAAATGTTTCTGATAGAGTGGGATTTTTTTAATGTTCTTTTTTCTATACCTGTCCTTAATATTTTTGTAATTTAAAAAAATTCTTAAAAAAAAAATTTCAAAATAATAATTATTAGTGATTTTGGCTTAGTTGATATTTGAAAAGGATCAAATCATCCATTGGAATTAGAGAGTTAGTTTCTTTTTAAAATTCACCTTTGACTTCTGGTAAGATGGAGGAACAGGCAGACAAGCTACACAAACCCTCTTCAACAAAGAAAAGAGAAACCAATTGACAGAGATACAGAAGATAATCTTGGAGCCCTCAGCTTTGAAAGGAAGTATACAGAAATGGATTAGGCACCAACTAGTGGAAAAACCTGAACAAAAACAGTGAGTACAGACACAGTCAGAGCAGTAGACTGTCAGCTACTCTGACAGGACCAACAGCCTGAATATTTCCAAGTGGTGTTGGAAACTGAGAATTGACATAAAGATCAGCCCTGGTCACCAAGGGCTGCAGGGACAATTGCACTGGTGGCCTATGACTAGGAAGGCAAACAGGAAGGAGGGAAACAACCTGAGCTGTGAACTTTCAACTATCCGAAGGGCACAACCATTTTGATTGCTAACAAGCAGCAGCCATTTTGGAGATTTAAAGTGACTGAGGGCACAGCCATTTTGAATGTTTACAAGTAGCAGGCATTTTGGATATTTAAAGTGACTGAGAGTGCAGCCATTTTGAATGTTTACAAGGAGCAGCCATTTTCGACATTTAAAGTGACTGAAGGCACAGCCATTTTGAATATTTACAAGTGACGGCTCTTATGGATTTTAAAGTGACAGCATTCTCATTCAGATTCCAGGGACCTAAGAATAGGCTCTTTGCCAATGGCGGCAGGGACATATAGGAGGCTGACAAAGAGAAAGGAGACAGGTGATGAAGGTATAAGTGCCTCCAACTAGCAAATAGAGGAGCACAGCACAGTACCCTGCTTACATAGACAACATACAAACAAAACAAAGAAAATGAGAATCGTGGGCAAGTCACTTGAATATACTCTCACCAATTAAATATAAATACAAAAATGTCACAATGCCTCAGAGAAAGCAGAACATCACAGTTCACACAAAGAAACAAGATAACGCAGGAGAAACAGGGGACCAGGATACAGACCCAGAACACATCCCTATGGAAGATGCAGCATTGGAACTTCCTGATAAGGAATTCAAAAGAATTATATTTAGGTACCTTCAAAGAAGTGAAACACAGATCAAGGAAAACAGTGACAAAGTTGAGGAAAAGACAGAGAAAACCATAGAACAATTTTGAAAATCAATACAAGAACAAAATGACAAAATAAATAAAAAATTAGAAATGATACAAAATCTATAGACAGAAATCTAGAAGATTAATACTAAGTTTTCAGAAACAGATAACACATTGAACAGGCAAAGGAGTAGAACTGAATCAATGGAAGGCAGAATTAATGAGATTGAGGGCAAATACCTCAATACTTCTTTGGAAAAGGATCAATCAGAAAAAAGATCAAAACAAAATGAAGAAAGCCTAAGGTTCATGTGGGATACCATTAAAAGGAATAACCTACGTGTAATTGGAATTCCAGGGAGCTCTGGTAGCGTAGTGCCTGAGGCACTTGACTGCTAACCAGAAGGCTGGCGGTTCAAACGCACCAGCCACTCCTCGGAAGGAAGATGGGGCAATCTACTTCCATAGTGATACTGCCTCGGAAATCCAAGGAGGGGTTGCTATGAGTCGAGTCCGACTCGATGGCACATAGCAACAACAATCGGAATTCCAGAACAAGAAGAGACAAATAAAACCAAAGAAAACATTGTCAAAGATTTGTTGGAAGAGAATTTTCCTGATATGATGAAAGTTGAGAATATAACCATTTAAGAAGTCCAACAAACCCCAAACAGGATAGACCCGAAAAGAAAATCACCAAGACATATCATCATCAAACTCACCAAAACCAAAGACAAAGAAAGAATCCTGAAAGCAGCACAGGAAACACAAAAGGGGTAACCAATAAGACTAAGCTTAGATTTCTCGGCAGAAACCATGCAGGCAAGAAGACAATGGGATAGTATATATAAAACCCGAAAGACAAAACTTTCTAAGAATTATATACCCAGCAAAACTGTCCCTCAAATATGATGGTGAAATTAGGACACTTCCAGATAAGCAGAAATTAAGGGAATTTGTTAAAACCAGACCAGCCTTACAAGAGATGCTAAAGAGAGCCCTTTGGAGAGAAACAACAACAGCCAACAACAACTGACCATTAACACACAAATGACATAACCCAGAAACCAACCCAGTTATAGAAGTATCCAAAATAAATAAGCCTACAAGATTGTAAACAGGGAACCAGAGAAATTGATTGACAAATGAGGAAAACTATAAACCAAAAAGAGGGAAAAAATTGTGTGTAGTTACAGAACTTCTAAATGCAGAGAAGTCAAGATAACTGCAAGACAGAATGAACTATTCTAAACTTGGGAAGAAAACTATAAATCACAGGGCAACCTCAAAGAAAAATAATAAATCATCACATCAAAATAAAAAAGAGGACCAGTACAAATATTTAGCAAATACTAAAACAATAGCAACCAAGGAACTGATAACACGATTCATAAACAACACAACCTCAGCACAGAAAATCACACAGAACAAAGAAATCAACACCACAAAAAAGCACATAACAAAATGACAGCAACAAATTCATACCTGTTGATATTTACATATCTGGCAAGGGACTGCTCTCTAAGATTTACAGAAAACTCCAATGCCTCAATAGCAAAGGGATTAACAATCCAATTGAAAAATGGGCAAAAGACATGAATAGACATTTCACCAAGGAGGATATTCAGGTAGCCAGCAAATACATGAAGAGATGCTCACAATCACTGGCCATCAGAAAGATGCCTATCAAAACAACAATGAGATACCTACTCACCCCAGCACTGACAGCAAGGTTCAGCAAGACAGAAAATAACAAATACTGGCAAGGATGTGGGAAGATTGGGACTCTCGTACATTGCTAGTGAAACTGTGAAGTGATACAACCACTGTGGAAAGCAGTATGACGATTCCTTAGAAAGGTGGAATTGGAGACACCATTTGACCCAGCAATCCCATTACTAGGTATATATCCTAGAGAGGTGAGAGCCAGGACAGGAACAGATATACACACACCCATGTTCATCACTGCACTGTTTACACCGCCAAGAGGATGGAGGCAATCACTTGCCCCTCAACAGAGGAATGGATGACCAAGCTGTGCATACACACAATGGAGTGCGCAGCACTGAGGATTGATGTGGAATCTGCAAAGCGCCACATGGTGTGGATGGACTTGGAGGACACTGTGCTGAGTAAAATAAGTCAGTCACAGAAGAATAAATATAGTATTAGTTCATTGTTGTAGAGGGTCAATGAAAGATTTATATATGGAGGGAAACTTTCTTTGTTGGTTGCCAGAGATGGGCGGGGAGGGGAAGGAATACTGGGGGAAAAAAATGCATTGACCTATGTCACTTTAGTTTTGTGTATTTCACTGTACATAAATTATATTTCAATAAAATGCATTTAAATAAATAAATAAATAAATGAGCTGACCAGAGGGCGATAGATGTAAAAAAAAAAAATTCAGCTTCTACAGCTACACAATACTGTAACTATTTTCCAGGCTAGAAGTCATGATATTTACGTTCATCAGTCTTCTTTGTGACTTAGGGAAGAAATAGGAATAAAAACCAGAAAAACAATGGGAATTGTTGTTGTTGTTGTTATGTGCTGTCGAGTCGGCCCCGACTCATAGCGACCCCTCCTTGGGTTTCCGAGGCAGTATCACTACGGAAGTAGGATTGCCCAACCTTCCTTCCGAGGAGTGGCTGGTGGGTTTGAACCGCCAGCCGTCTGGTTAGCAGGCAAGTGTCTTAGCCACTATGCTACCAGAGCTCCCAACAATGGGAATATAGACACTAAAACTGGATATTTTCTCATTAAAAATAAGTTCTTATTATTTAGGCATTCACCTGATCTTCCTGGATGCATTACATAATTTCATATATAAACAAGAATAGCTATGTTACAACCTATCATGAAAGGCACTTTTTTAAAAAAAAAAATTTTATTGTGATTTGGGTGAAAGTTTACAAATTCACTTTCCATACAGCAGCTCACATACACTTTGTCTCATGACATTGACTGCAATTTCCCACAGTGCAATGGCTCCCCTCCCACTTCCTCCCCATAGCTACATCTTCCCTGTGTCCTTCCCTCCCATGCACTCCCTGCTCCCAGAGCTGTTTCCCTGTGCATACATAGCCCTTTTATTCTCCCATGATTGATCTTTCCAAGAGTATATCTACCTAATGTAAACGTTCAGCTCATATGCCTATCTTTTGTTTGGCTGGGAGCCACAGGAGTGGGTTCAATTCCAGACCTGAAGGGCAGCTAGGGGCCATAGTCTCAGGGGTTCCACCAGGCTCTATCAGACATCAGACCAGCAAACCTGGTCTCCTCTTTTTTTTTTTTAATGATTTTGAGTTTTGTTCCACACTGTTTTCCCACTCTATCTAGGATCTCCTACATAGATTCCCCTCTGAGTGGTTGACAGTGGTAGCCAGGTACCATCTAGTTCTGGTCTCACAGTAGTACAGGCTGAGGATCACATGGTATATCAGTCCCCTGGACTAATTATTTCCATGCATCTTTGGTTTTCTTCATTCTTGTTTGCTCTGGATGAGGAGAGACCCATCATTTCATCTTGATGGCTGCTTGCAAGCTTTTAAGATCCCAGTCGCTACTTGGAAAGGCCATTTTTAAGTGAGCTCTGTTTACTGAAAATGGCTAAGGTCCTCTAACTTTCTTTTTAGCTACAGCTGCCACTACTCACTCATTATAAGCCATGAACAGCCAAAAAAGATTTCTGAAATTGAAGTTGATGGAGATCAACTTTACCATTCATTTAGCAAATATTTACTGAGCTCTTATTATATACCCATGCCCTATTCTAGGAACTAAAAATTCAACAATAACTAAACTCCCCAAAGTCCCATTCATAAAGCCTATTTTCTAGGACTTGCTTGAGCAAGTTCCTTACTTTAGCTGTGACAGTTGAGAGAACCAGCAAAGGTTAGAAAGAAATAATGAAAAAAAGTAAAACAGAACTGAGAAACAGAAGGATCTAAAAGAGTGACATGCCAAATATGGACTTCCAGTTTGCTGAGAAAGCAGAATGCTTCTATCTACATAGTTAGAAGTTTCTAATTTGGATGTGGGAAGTTGGAAGGTAGGGAGTGAAATTAAACTAAATTGCCTTTACAGCATACCACTAAAGAGATTTCTAAAAATTACTTTAAGGTTGTAATGGAACAAACAAATTTTTATTGGGTCGTACCTTTGGAGTGGCTCGGAGATAAATGATTCCATCCAGTTCAAGGCTTTGGCCAAATTGGTTATGCATCCAGTCATGCCAGTCTTGATAAATTGTCCACTCTGTTTCATTCATGCAGTCAGAATCATACAAATTAGATGCAAAAATATACCTGAAACAGAGTATACATCAACACTTAAATTCTATTCATGAAAGCATTAAGAAAGAAGAAATAGAAACTAGATCAAAAGAGAATATGGAATAGAACATTCTCATAAACATGTGGTAGTTAAGTCCCTTGAACAGCAGGAAAAAAAAATAAGTCTCACTAACTACAGGAAATATGTTCTTGGCCATTAGGTTCTCAAAATGTGGTCTCAGGGCACCTGAAAGTCCAAGACCCTTTAGGAGGTAAGGGAAAGCCCATATTTTCTTTATATACTGTACTTCAACCAAATAACATATCACAGCTGACTGAATATAGATGCAGATATGAGAATATGACTTTTGCTATTAAGTCAGATATTAAACAAAAATTAAAAATATAAAACAGTATCACTCCTAATTTTTTTTGTGCTGTTTTAGAAAATACAGTGCTTTTTTATAACAAGTATATTGTTTATGTTAATACATAATGGGTTTATTGTGGCTAATTTTAACTTAAAAGATGTTCTTAAAATTTCTCAATCTTAATTTCTAATAATATAAATGTCAATTATACCCAAAGGTCTTTGGGCTCTTCAATTAAGCGTTTAAACAGGTAGGAGCTCTGGTAGCATAGTGCCTAAGACACTTGACTGCTAACCAGAAGGCTGGTGGTTCAAACCTACCAGCCACTCCACAGAAGGAAGATGGGGCAATCTACTTCTGTAGTGATACTGCCTCGGAAACCCAAGGACGGGTCACTATGAGTCGGGTCTGACTCAAGGGCACATAACAACAAGACTGAAATATTTGAGAACCACTACTTTGAGCTAATTTTGGAGGTCAACAAAATCCTTATATCAGCAGGGCAATTCTAAGGTCCCCAAAGATTTCTGATCTTGTACTAGGTAAGTCTAGAATATAGATGCAGACTCTCCAACTCAAGCACAGATAAGGATTTTAAAATGGATGGAGGGGGCAAAAAACGCTTACTGAAAATTTGAATGAGATAACGTATTTCCTAGTTCCCATGAAACCTAGGTAATTATAAAGGTTAGAACTCCCAGTATTATTATCATTTTCCATCTCAAATTCACTAGTCAAACATTCATATTAATTTGATTCCCAGGAAAGCAGAAAAAAAAGTCCATTTTTTAATGCATAGGGAAGGATACAGGGAAAAGATAACCATAGGGAAGAAATGGAAGAGAGCTGTTACACTATGGGGATTGTAATCAATGTCATGAAACAAATTGTGCATGAATTGCTATATGGAAAATGAGTTTGCTCTGTAAACTTTCAGCCAAATCACAATTAAAAAGAAAAAAAAGTCCAGTTTCAGTCAAAGTGCTCCAGACAGACAAATACAAGCCATTTACAAATACCTGTCACTATACACAGATCGTTCAAAAAATAATACAGGTTTCTCAGCATCTTTGAGCCTGCCATTGAGAGAAGCAAGTTGAGCTCGTATTCGACTGAGGCAGGCATACGACTGGAAGGTAAAAGACCACCGTTCAGGTTTCTCATACATCATCTGAAGAACATTGCCACCACTTTTCTGAGATGTTGTCAGTTCCTATTTTGAATATGGGGGGGTGGGGAGCAGAAAGCAAAATTAATGACCAAAAAAAAAAAAAAAAAAAAAATTAAAAAAAAAAAAAAAAAAAAAAAAAAAAAAGTTCAAAATGAGAAGATGAATAATAAATGCATCATGATCACCAAAGCTAACATGATTAACTCTGCTTCAATGCACTCTTTCCCACTGAATCTTGCAGGTTGCCTATAGTCTGGAAGGTGCTAAAAAGCTGGCACAAACTACCACTTCCTCACATGTTTCTCAGAAGAGGTCACAAACTGATAGCCTATGGAGGAAATAATTTGTTTGGGCCAAATGAGGCTTTTGAAAACTTTGAACTACTTGTCAATATTTAAAAGCTAAATAATTTGGGGAGGAAGTGGGAGGGGAGCTGTTGCATTGTGGTAAACTATGGTTAATGACATGAGACAAAGTATATGTGAACTGCTGTATGGAAGGTGAATTTGCTCTGTAAATCTTCACCCAAATCACAATAAATAAAAATAAAAATAAAAAATAAAAGCTAAATAATTAGACATGAAATACTTGGTTTTAAACTTTCTTTTAAAAATAAGAATACCTGCATTTCCTCTTGGCAAAAATTAAGTGGAGGCAAGTAATGCATACCACAATTAGGTGAGACATATGCTCTCCAGTTTACCAGCCCCCACCATTTCTTGTTGACTCTCATAACAAGCCTGATTCATTCATATGTTAGCTGCCTGGACCTCAAGCCTTTTAATTTGACCTCAATCTCTTAACAAAACAGAATAGATTCCTCAAATTATTTTATAATTCAGTTATAATTTCAGTAATGTATTATTAAAACCTATAGTTTCACTGTTAAAAAAAAGACATAAAACAAAAAAAAAATTAAGTAAAAACTGTAATCTTACATCTGAACTAGAAATGGCATAAAGAACTCATAAATTCTGTTTATTTCTATAAGATAGTTTCCCTAGCCCTGTCCACCAAACTTGTTTAAACAGCAACTCACTAGCACTGAATTTATCTACCACTCAGATTTGGATCTCTAAATACCATTTACCAGTGAATGAAAATACAGTTCCATAGCTGATACTAGTTCTGAGGAAGGAATATAAGGTAACTTGATATTCTTGTTCCAGAAAATAAGGAAGTTTTCAAAGACTACTGGGATTGTGTCAAAGGCAAAGGAGCCAAAATGAAGGGGCTTCCACTAGTCAAAGATGAGACAATTTGAACATCAAAAACAATGACTGTAATGCAAAATCCATGAATTCATAATATTAAAACTTTTTTTAAAAAAATCACTTTAGTCATCTTTGGAGGTTGCTAAGACAGAATTTGTAAATAAAGAGAGAAGAAAAAAAAATCAAGCATTTTGTCCTGGCCCATTCTGTATGAGCATGCTATTCCATGGTAATGAAACAGTTGAGGAAAAGATTCTTTACAGAGAATTCCAGTTAATACATTCAGAAGACTTGAGAATTATTAGTTTTTATAACATCTAATGAAACACAGCATCAACATACAATGTTAAACAGTGTCAGATTACCCAATAAGCAAGGTAAGCATGGGCTCACTTGTGCTTACTTAGTAATGTGTGATGAACAATTTCACAATTTTTCATCACACTAAATCTTCTGCTTGTAAGTATGGTTGGTACTTGTCTCTCTCCCGACCCCAAAGCACCTTCCTACAAATCAAAGCCCCTTTTCAAATTTACAATTCCTAATGGGGACTAAGTACTTAGTAGGCAAGGTAAGCATGGGCTTCCTTGTTTACTAAATGTAGCAAACAGTTTCACATGTTTTTCACCACATCGAAGATATGTAAGCCTATACTTACCTTCCTTAGTGCGTAATTCACCTCCGAGTTAGTAAGTAAAGTTAGTTGCTAAAATCCTTACAAAAAAGTCGATAGGGAATTTTATAATGGATGGATTGGGCTGACAACATCTAAAGTGACTGATTAACTTTAGCATCACTAAAAAGAGGAACTCGGAAGGAAGTTTGGGCAATCTACTTCCGTAGTGATACTGCATCAGAAACCCAAGGAGGGGTTGCTATGAGTCGGGTCCAATTGGATGCATAGTGGGGAGTGGTGGTTCGGTGGTAGCATGGTTGTCTTTTACCCTGGAGTCTGGGATTCGACTCCTGGTCAATGCACCTCATGTACAGGTCAATGCACCTCATGTACAGACAGACACCTTTGTGTGTGGGGTCACCATGAGTACAGTTCTCCTAATGTAATGCAAAAGGAATAAAAGCATCACCTAAGAAATTTTGCCAAAAAAAAAAAATAAAGCTACATCTAATCAAGCCTCAGATTTAACTACAAATGTATAAGAAATATAGAGAATGGAGAAACATGGTAATTAACACTACAGAGATGCACTTGACCAAATCATAAATGAGAGAAATTACTCAGGACAATGACCCATTACTTTAACAAATAAAATTGCCAACAACAACAACAACAAAAAAGAAAAGCATCAATTAAAACTTAAATGATCTATCAGCCAAATGTAATTAGTAGGCCTTGTTTAACTTCTGAGTTCAACAAACTGTTAAAAAAAAAAAAAAAAAAACTACAAGACAAAAAGGGGATATCTGAACACAGACTAGAAGTGCTAAAATAAATTAATGATATTTTAGATGTTATTTTTTGAATGATCCTTATTTTCTAGAGTTATTTTTTCCTTTTTTTTTTTTTTGGAGTCTTTATTTTCTACAAAAGAAGCAGTATTTTCTAGAACAGCTGCTGTCAAAAGTGTGACAAAGGAACCCTTAAGGGGAGACTCAAAATGGAGTCTCATCAGTGATCACCATGCTATTTCCCTCGAGCATCTTAGTGCTTGAAAAACTAGGTACAGCAGTTTGAATTAGGGATTCTGGGGCTCTGAACAGCTCACTGAGTCAGAGTGCACCAAACTCAGGGGAGTAGAATTACAAAGGAGAAAGGAACGGGGGTGGCGGGTGGTGGGGGGATAACAAGATCAGAAGATCTATTCTGCAGAGTACCAACAGGCAACCGAGAAAGGCCATCAGAGATCTCCCTGGGTTAAGGAAGAAGACACACCACACCAGCATACCAGCAACCACACCAGCATACCAGTGATCACCCCAAGGATCTACCTTCAGCACCTGATTTTATCGGTAACTTGGGCTGACTACGCACAAACAGGCACATCCAGCACTGCTGAAACCCAAGGAGAGTGTCCATTGGTGCTGCAAGAGGGTGAGTCTGGGGAGGTGTCCCCACAGCAGGTCACCAATGCAGCTTGGGTCAGCTGAGAGCCTGCGCTTGACTTTATCAGTGATATTGGGGCCACAGATTACTAGCAGGCACTCTGCTGACTCAAGTGCCACTGAAACCAAGCAGATCTTTGGTGCAGCTGGTGGGCGGACCCACAGAGGAGCTCCTGCAGCAGATCACAGTCTGTGCCAGTTGGGCCTGTGCCGCAGGTGGGTGGGCCCAGAGAGTTGTCTTGGGTCAGCTTTTTGGTGCCAAGGCACCTCGAGAGAGGGGTTTTTGCATGTGTCTGAGCCTGGTGGAAGGTGGTGACCCTGACAACTGGACTCTTTTTTGAAATTAAACTGTGGGCCTATGAATGTCATCATTAGCAGCCCACTCAAAGCCCTAGAAACCGCCCCTACCAACAGAGAACTTCCCTTCTTCCACTCTTCCGCTCCCACCTTCTCCGCCAATAACTTCATTCATCCAATAGAAGAAACCACATTCAGTCACCATAATACCTCCCAGTTCGAACCCTAAACCTTCTTTACAACAAACAGAAACCCACATCCACATTCCACACAGTGATTCCACCATCAAAAAGAAAACTGCAGAGCAACCAGCATACCTGAATTAATAACTAAAAAAATAAAATACACCAGCTTGATCTTTTCAAAATATTAAACCGTAAAACCAAGACAAAACAAATCAATACATAACCAACAGTTAAAGACAACCTCAAAATGTCTAGAAAACAACAGACAACCTCAAATCAAACAAAAAAACAAGACAAGGCATTAGAAGCAAAACCACGAAGGTCTCATTAAACATGAAGGAAGAAGAGGCAATAAAATTATCTGAGAAGGAATTTAGAAGATACGTTTATAGAGCTTTACAAGAGCCTAAGGAAACCCCAAACAGAAGCAAGGAGAACAAAGACAGGTCTCTAAAAGAACTAGGAAAATATTTAAGAACAAAATAACAAGATAAATGCATAATCAGAATTCATACAGAAACAGCAATTAGAAATCCAGAAGATGAATACCAAAATTACAGAATTACACAACACAGTAGAAGCACAAAAGAGTAGGTTAGAAGTGGCTGAAGAACACATATCCCAACTAGAAGACAAATCCCTGGACACCAAGTCTGTATGAAGAAAAATCAGAACAAAGATTTAAGAGAAATGAAGAGAACCTAAGAATTATATGGGATGACATGAGAAGAAACCACATAAGATTAATTGGAATTCCAGTACAAGAGGCAGAAAAAAATACCAAGAAAATTGTGGAAGACCTGCTAACAGAAAACATGCCCCATATCACGAAAGAAGAAAAGATATTTTGCCCAAGAAGCTCATAGAACCCCACTACGGTGTAGTAAATTACTTAGTGTGGCTTTTTTTTTTTTTTTTATACAAAGCATGGAACTTTGTAAAAGAAAGAAGGAAGGGGCCTGGGAAGTGAAACTTTGGATTATTAGATGGTTACTTTGGTTGGTGTTACCTAAAAGGAGATAATTGATCCAGGGGCTAGGGCTTTTGGTTACACCCAGCCAAAGGCTCAAGGCAATATACACAGAATGGGAAGGTAATCATGGTGAAAAGATAAACCTGGAATGTCTTTAAAAGGATTATGTGTTTTGGATTATGTGTTTACCTGAATGTACTACGGGTATTGAATGTTCTCTTACCTGCTTGTACATTAGAAATGATTATGGGGTATATGGATAACAGAGAGTGTGTAAGTCCACCTTCAGCTGATACTGATACTTGATACATT